AAAAAGGTTAATGTTTCGATACATACATATAATCACAAGTGTCAACTTTCAGGAGAGCCATTTCAATTTTTTGGCAACTTGAGTCGAACTTTTCCACATTAAGGGCCAAAATAGCAAACGATCTTATCGAAATGCAATTTGACGGAAGCTGTCAAAGCTCTCTAAATATCAGTGATTTCTACTGAAATGTTAAATAAAGTCGTGAAAAGACGGTTGCCTTATAAATAATGGTGACATTATAGATGTATGTCTTTGTGCTTTACTGTAAGGATAACTTTTATAGAATTTCAAATTTTTATCATTGCACAAAAGACGGTCAGTCATTTAAATGGATCAATGAAAATGAGAAAAATAATAGGTAGATTTCCTAGCTATTATATTTAGTAGGATGCTTTTATTGTTTTTGACGACTGTTCATGCATGGCAATATAGTGTCGCCTGTATATCACGTACAGGGTGTTGTACATAATACGTACCTGTATGAAATGTACCTATTTTTGTTATTTTGCAAAAAAGAAATGATATAAAACGTATTCCAACTGGTTCATCACCCTTTGTTACATGAAAAACAATTTTTGCCAATTTATGATCTAGAAATCCACACCAAATGTAAACAAATAGCACATTCTGCATTTCTGGGTCCTAAAACATCGATATTTGTAAAAGTATCCGCATTCACCTATTATTCATTGTCTAGATATTGTAAGTCAGAATCAAAAATACCTATTTATGAAAATGTATCTCCAACCATTGTTATATTTTCTTATTATTTATATCATTATAACACATCTGGGATATCAATTGTTTTTAAAGCGATCTGCACATCTGCACTGTTGCCGAACCGGCAAAAGAAAAACGGAATCGGTAAATAGTGTCGTTGAATTCGGTATAAGGTAAACGCCGTCCCAAGATCAGTGGGAGATCAAGGACCTTTGAGTCATGAAAAACGTCTGTTATTGTATTGGGCGCGCACACAACATGTTTTTTGAGGGCATAGTTCTATATTATAACTTCTACAATGTCCATACTGGTTCAAGTCCATGCATAAACAATAAGAAATTTGCATTATGAATTTATATTCTAAATTCTATGCACATCCGTTCATAATCGTCAATATTTCATTTGAAGCTTTTAATTGTCACAGGATTTTAGCAAAATGTAGAATAGTAAAGGCAACCCCGCGCCCTGCAGCCCAGTTGACAAGAAGGACAAGCTATCAAGAAGAAAGTATAGATTTGTATCTATTCCTGTCGTTTAGGAAGTATCGATACTCTAAAATATTAGAATAAAATTATCGATATCCAGCGGAAGGAAACAAAGAAGAAAAGTAACTTGAAGTTAGTCACTCTTTCTGACAGTCCGGATCGAAAGATGACGATACTCTTGAAATTTATCGATACACAGAAGTGCGTCATGGAAATAATTTTAAATTTTCATTTGCATTTTTTCAAGTGTTGTGCAACGATTTTGGGAAAAATTCCACGTATAGTCTTATAGCATAGTAGAGTATATTTCAACAGTTGGCGGAGCTTACTCCACTGGGACCAATGGTTGACGGATCCCACACGTGTGTCACTTGTTGGGGAGTTTTGGAATGTAATAATCAGCCGTTATTCAAATAATGTCTAATATAAATATAACCGAGAATGTGTAATGGAACAAGAACTTTATTGCAAATTCTATTTTTTTGCAGGTCTTAGTTTGGCGGTAGCTTTACGACATATATTTGATTATTTCTTAATCGCTGTAAATTCGCTTAAGTTCTGTTCCTGAACGCCCAAAAATATTTGACTTTATGGATGTATGGATATGAAAAGTCCTGAATGGTTTTGTGGGAATATCAATCGACGATGCTATAATGGTACTGATGACCGGCAAGTAAATGAACGAATATTTGGAAACTGTGAAATTTTTGGTAGAGCCTGTCATCAAGTAAGTGCTTAATGGCTATCTGCAAGAGGTTTGTAGGAAAAAACACATGGAAGGTGATGTTGAATCAGTAAAATCGCATATCAATTGAAGAAAATAATATAAACATGAATAAACTACCGACAATATTATACAATGCTTCGCATATTCAAAGTGAAATCATAGAAAAAAAAAACGTCCATAAATATGTAATTACAATGTGAGCAAGATACACTTTTTGTTGTATAATCATGACAAAATAGTGTACAATGGTTTTCCTCGATACGTGAACAGCTTTCACAGATTATATGTTAAGGTCAAATACGATTCCTGTTATGGATAAATTTTTTCCTGAAATGGCATTGTAAAGTTACCAAAACTTCCAGCACTGAAATATAGTGTTACGATAGTGGAAATGATGAAACATTCGTAATGCATGGAAACTGTACACAACTGTTTTGAGAGTTTATTATATAAAAAATGCTTATATCTGAAAAAGGAAGAAGTTATCTGTATTGTAAATTTTACACAAATATAAATTTGGATAAAAATGAAATAAAAAATATAAATACATTAAAGTAAAAAAAATACATATATAAATAAATAGAATAAACGATTTTATCCAGCCTTATTACGTCATTGCAAGTCAAACTACCTTAATAATGTTTGTGTATCTCTGGGAGCTTCTCTTTGTCGATATAACTTCACTCTTTGGCTTCTATGAAGAATATGTACTGTCATAAAAAGCGGACAACCACGCAATACCTAAACAATCACACTGAAACTGATGCGACAAATTTATGAGCGTATTGATGTCTCCATGTCAGAGCATTGTAACTGCATTCCAGCGATCTATTAGGAGCAATAATATTGTTTTCGTGCGAGAATATACCATATTTTGTTGTAATCGATTAGATTCGATAGAATGGTATGGTACTTACAATACCAGAATTAAGATTCAGCAAAACAGTAACGATCTTTACCACGATGTAACGTTATTTTTCGGACGTATGCAGTTACAATGATATTTAAACTATATTTTTCCCACATTTTCCATGGTACACCCAGTACATGTGGCTCATTGTTGTTACTTCTATCGATTGCTTATCGGATGGGATCTAAAGTGCACTGTTGATAACCGCCACAGCATTTTCTCAAAATTTTACAGCTCCTGTGTTCTCAGCCGGTATAATATTATAAAAATAAAATCCAGGAATTCAAAGGGTTCTTGGGCCTCGAATCCATGCCTCACCAAGTTTTCAATATTTTCGACTAAATTAGCGCCATTAAACTATCATGCTGTTAGGTGCTGTGAATTTAGTTATTAAAAAACTACCACGATAACCTACTAGTAACGTCCAATACCCTAGGTATAAATAAAAACAAAGTTAGCGATAAGCTAAACAAAATCGCAGCAGCGGTGGCCGCAGTAGTAGACTCTTCGGTCTCCTGATCAATCGCCGTGCGCTGTGCGGGTTCGAGTCCCGTCCCAGGAGAAATTTTTCTCTTGGCTATGGATGTTGTGATTGTCCGTAGGTGGTAGACGGTCTCTGACTGTCGAACGTGGAGGTATCACCCGGCGGATCTCGTAGGCGGAGCCAGAATGTGTGCATGTTGCATGCACACTTGTTCCCTCGCCAGAGTCCGTGTGGCGTTCCCCCTTTCCCCTGTATCCCCCTATAACCCCACGGTACCCAATGGGTGTTTAGGCCTTAGGCCTTCGTGGTAGTTGGAGTATAAAAAAAACATTTCGAAGTATTTTTGAAGTTAACGACAACCATAGCAGTAATACTATGCTTTCACAAGCACATATAAAACACGTGTAAGTTACAGAACATTGCAGGTCCTCTTATGATGCGCCCATATGCCGCTCTTTCAATTATTATACGTGATATAAGTTATGGAAACCTGTTGGTAACATAACTATGTGGTACAAGCCCATTATTCCAACAAATTGAATTGTATGGCAAGCAAGCCCATTAAGAAATATTTGCTTTTTACTTCTTTTTTTCGATACAGCTCTGTTATTTTTCCTATAAAGATTAGAATTATATCGAGGTACAGACAGATTTTGTTCAATACTTGTAACCACTCTTCGTTCCTGCATTCTTTATCTGGCGCTGCGAACAGGATCGTTATACGCCTTCGTGGAAAACATCTGGAAAATTGTATGAGCCCAGCCAACCATCAGTAAAATCTTCGAGATTCATCAGGTGAGCTGAACTACGTCCCTTCTGTGTGACCAACCATTGTGAGGTAGGAAGTATCCACTTCCGTAAGAGAAATGATCTGAGAACCTGAGAGCCACGTCCAAGCTAACGTTAGAGAGGAATTCAGAACAACCATGGCTGACAATCCACAAATGTTATTTAACCTATTGAAAGATAGTGTGCCTATTTTTTCTGAAACATGAAATAATTTATCTGTATATTTACGTAAATCTAGAGAATTTGTTGCCGCTTTGCATGGCCCATATCAAATTCATGCTTTATCGTACGTAAAATTCAAACTACAAGGAGAACCTTCTGTTATCGTTGAACGAAATAATCCGCAAACTTGGCAAGAATTTGAAGAAATTCTTAAAGAACGTTACAAAGATTGAAAATCCCATTTAATGCTACTTGATGAACTTAGAAATTTATCCCAGTACACAGACTATATGAATTTTCATACTGAAAGTTTGCAAAAACTACATATTCTTAGAGAATATGCTCTTTTGGAATTTTCTGATGTAGTTGCTCAATCTAGAGTCGACCTTTACACAGAAGCTGCATTAAATTCATTTGTAACTGGTATTAAAGAACCATATAAACCACTCCTACAACTCTTCAAGGTGCCTTACAAATTCGTCGAAAATACGATAATTCACAAATACAATCGCAATGCAAAGTATTTACTAAACAAAATGCCAAAAATACTAACGCCATTCAAAAACCGAAACCTACAAATACCGTTCAAAATACACCTATGTGGCGATTCTCTTGAAAGCAACAATTTTACAATCCGCAATTTTACCAACAGCCACAACGATCTATCTTCCCAACTGACCCGATTAACATCAGACCAAATTATTTTAATAATCAATTTCAAAGACAAATTCAACCACGACAGCCTAATTTCTATCCACAAAAGAGACAAGGTCCACCAAAAAACTTTAAACCAACACCCATGTCTACATCAACTATTACGAACCGCCCCTCGCAACAACAGAATCAATACCGTCCTAACTTTTTCTCAAATCACGGACAAAGACCAAATTTTATCGCTGAAGAACTAACCAACACCGAAGCGACCGAACAATCACAAAACGAACAAGAATACGATGAACAGCAATACTATGATCCAAATTATGAAAATTATGAGCAACAAGAATATGAAAATTCAGATAGTAACCCTACTGTCGAGTTCCCCCTGAAGAGACAACTCAAAATTTTCTGAAAGCCCCAAATTAAAACCCATTGACTTAGATCTCAATAATTATGAGAACACACATTTGCCATACATTTATTTACAAAATTTAGATTTGCTAGTTCTTATAGACACTGGTGCATCTGTCTCTTTGATCAACACTCAAATTGCTTTCAATTATTTTTCAGATTACATTTATCCAAAACACTTTTCAATAAAATCTGTCATTGGTACTAAACACGGTGAATACGCTTTGCGAATTCCTTTGTTCAATGAACATGGCATTAACGCTGAAATTGAATTTCTCATTTTAGACTGGCACGAACGTTTTGACTGTTTATGTTGTTATGATCTAGAAAAATTTCAATCTACTTTACAAACATCTAAGAATTTGCTATCCATTGATCGTTTAAACTTTATTTGCCACACTGACAAAATACCACGTAAAGTCCCGAACACTGTAATCAAAAATCAAGTTCTAAAATCCCCTATCAAAAATGGACAAATTATCGTTCCACCTATTAAATATCTAAATTCTAACGATTACATACCCGAAATGATTTGTACCGTTAATAGTTATGAAGTACTATACCCAGAAAATCCAAATCTATTAGATTTAAACTATGAATGAATCAAATACGACAATTTGGATAATTACGATATTGAAACACCCCAGAATGAATATAATTTAGCTGATATTGGAACTTTAATAAGAACTGATCACATGAATGACGAGGAAAAATACAAGATAACAGAACTTTGTAGAAAATTTCCTGAAGCTTTGCTAAAACCTAACGAAAAATTAGAGCCATGTACCGTAACATCTCATTCTATCAGAACAAAACACGACGACCCAATATTTGTAAAATCTTTTCGCTATCCAGTCTATTTAAAAACCGAAATTCAGAAACAAGTCGCTAAACTTTTGCAAGATGACATCATCCGTCCCAGTACAAGTCCGTACTCATCACCTGTATGGATCATAAATAAGAAGCCTGACGCTTCCGGCGTTAAAAAATATCGCATGGTAATCGATTTTCGTAAACTAAATGACATTACTATCGAAGGTAAATATCCTTTGCCCCGAACTGAAGAAATATTAGAGAGTTTAGGCAAAGCCAAATATTTTTCAACGTTAGATCTGGCACAAGGATTCCATCAGATTCCTATGCACAAAGACTCTATTGAAAAGGCTGCCTTCACCGTCAACAACGGGCACTATGAATACTTACGAATGCCCTTCGAACTGAAAAACGCTCCAGCAACATTCCAAAGAATGATGAATTTTGTTTTAAAACCCTACATCGGAAAAATATGTTTCGTCTATTTAGATGACATAATAATTTTCTCAAAATCATTGCAATACCACCTTATTCATTTGAAATTTATATTTCAAGATTTAATTAAACATGAATTGAAAATACAACTTGACAAAACAGAGTTCCTAAGAACAGACATTCCATTTCTGGGACATGTAATAACGCCAAACGGAATTAAACCAAATCCGAATAAAATCAGATGCATTCAAGATTTTCCAATACCAAAAACTATCAAACAAATTCAATCATTTTTAGGATTAACCAACTATTACAGAAAATTCATTAAAGACTTTGCCAAAATTATCAAACCTTTCACTAAATGTTTAAAGAAAGACGAGAAAATCAACATTTCAGATCCTGATTACATTCAAGCTTTTGATGTAATAAGAAAGACTATCACTAATTCACCCGTGCTCCAATATCCTGATTTTTCAAAAAACTTCACGTTAACAACCGACGCCTCAAATATTGCGATAGGAAGTGTTCTATCACAAGACGGAATACCTATCAGTTTTCATTCAAGAACATTAAACTCTGCTGAACGAAATTATTCCACCATTGAAAAAGAACTCATAGCCATTATTGATTCATGCAAACACTTTAGACCATATTTATTTGGACATAGATTTCTGAGTGAGACTGATCATAAACCTTTGGTGTGGTTATCAAATTTGAAAGAACCAAACCAGAGATTAATTAGATGGAAAATCAAACTTGAGGAATACGATTTCGAAATCAAATACAAAAAATGCAAAACAAATTTAGTTGCTGACGCCTTAAGCCGAATCCAGATAAATATTCAGGATTATCTCGAAACCGAATCAATGATCCCTAACGCACCCGAATCAGAAATGACTATTCACGAAACAGACAACAGATCAACTAACACGAGACACACTTCGCCTTAATCAAACCCAAACTCGATTCAATTTTCAGACAAAAACTTTTATGCCTATCCTCACCGAATGGAATTTATAACAGGTAAAAAGTAAAACAAGATCAAATTACTTCCGAATAAGACACTAAGGTGCTCTTTAATTAATCACTTATGTTCCTCATTTATTTTGGATTGTATAAAAAATTATTGTACCCCTGGTATTAAATACGGAATTTGGTATGACGATCAGAAACTTTTGCCCATACTTAGTAAAATTATGACACAATCTTTTTCTGCAAAACATATTGTAACTAGAAAAAGCTGCATTTAAACCAATTTATTTAGACAAACAAGAAATGAAAGACGAAATAACTTTGTACCGTTATAAATTTCACAACGGAATTAATGAAACTTATTCTCATTTCCAAAAGACTCACTATACATCAAAACTTAAAGACCTTATAACTGACATCATTAATAAATGCGAAATCTGTTTAAAAGCTAAATACGAACGAAAACCTTACAAAGAACCAATCCAAGGCCCATTTTTCAGTAACAAACCATTCCAGCTAGTGTTCATAGATATTTTTACTATTGAAAATACTAAATATCTAACTTTTATAGACCACTTTAGTCGATATGCCCAAGCCTATCAGACCATGTCACGAAATCACGTTGACATACTATCTAAAACGAAACATTTCTTTTCACATCATGGATTTCCAAAATCACTTCATGCCGATTATGGAGAATTACGTTCAGAAGTTATTAAAGATTATTGTAAAGCTCATGAAATACATTTGCACTTAGGAAGCACCAGCAATCCTAGTTCTATTGCACCAATTGAACGATTACATAGTACCATTGGAGAAAAACTTCGAATCCTGAGACAGACTCGAAAAACAGACACTACTACTGACCTAATGACTGACGTTATATTAAATTACAATCAATCTGTTCATTCTACTACAAAACATACACCTTTTGATTTATTATACGGTAGTACTGAAGACCCTTATTCATCGCATCTTAAACAAATATTAGAAAAAGACAAAATTAATGAACAAATCGCTCACGATTCTTACAATCAATTAAAAAAACAAACTAACAAAATTAACGAAAAACGCGTATCTAAGATCGCCGTTTTAAAATCTGCGATCTATATCAAAATCCCAATCAGACAAACTAAGGACAAACCAAAATATCAAAAACATACTATTTTCAAACAACAAGGAAATCAAATTTTAATCAAAGATAGAATACACATGCTGAGACGAATCAAGCCTCAACGTAAAAATCCTTTACAGAGCTCTACCAGTCCAGTGCCTACCAATTCGAGCGCTACTGATGAACCCTCTGCTCAAAGCACCTCCGGTAATCAAACTGCCTCTAGGAAATTCAAGATTAATCGAAAATCGTCATAAAACTCAATTCCTTATTAATTTAAATTATATAACCAATCCAAAACTACGTGAAAATCAACACGCACTGAATCTACAGAATTAAAAAGTTATTTTCTTCTATAAAGGTTTGCAAGGCACTTTTGAGCACAATACTATCAATATCCAAGAAAGCATAGTTTCTGTTACACAAAATATGGCTTTTCAAATGAAATTCTTCGAGCAAATCGCACATCAAATAAATTTAAATTCAAATTAATCATTTGAGCGTCCTATCCATTATTTCATTAAATCATAGGGAAATAAATATCCTCATTGAACATTTGCAAACTTCACACCATAAAGATCATCTGTTAGATTTTGAAACAATGCACCCTTTTGAGATACTGAATCTTTGCGAACTATCAATTGTAACTTTGCGAAATGAATCAATTCGTTATTCATGTACCTCTTCTTGACCGTAAAAACTTACAGTGTTTTTGAATTGTATCCGTTAGTTATAAGGAATGAATTAATAAAGATCCCAAGCAATTTTACTTTGTAATTTGAAGAAGAAAGATTTTGCTCCAATTTAATCAAACTAAGTAACAATCCGCATTTATGTTTTTAATTACTAAATAGGCACATGTAAGCCATCTGTGTTAGAAAATTGTCCTCATTTTCACTTAAAATACTATTAATACTAATATTTCAATTGATATTAAAGACTGCAAGCAGATTGAATTATCATTGCCTTTACTTGAAAGTAATTTTAGCTTTTTAAATCCTTCTTATTACAAAAATCATTTGGAAATAATAGTTCATACTAAGTTGCAAAACCTTTCTTACGACTCTTACAGCTTTGGAACCATATTGTAACTGTAAATTAAATTTTCTCTAAGTTGGAGACCAACTTTTCGTAGGAGGGAGGAGTTATGGAATCCTGTTGGTAACATAACTATGTGGTACAAGCCCATTATTCCAACAAATTGAATTGTATGGCAAGCAAGCCCATTAAGAAATATTTGCTTTTTACTTCTTTTTTCGATACAGCTCTGTTATTTTTCCTATAAAGATTAGAATTATATCCAGGCACAGACAGATTTTGTTCAATACTGGTAGCCACTCTTCGTTCATGCAATAAAGTTATTTTTTTACCATACGACGTGTGCATTCTTTATCTTATATTGGTACAGCCTGAATTTGATATAATATATGTACTGACTTCATCAAACTCTCGTTTGATGTACGTTAAAGATAATAACTGTACTTGCAAACTTTGAATTGTGCCCTCGAAAACTTTCCAGTGACGGCCGCTGTGGAAGCAAACGAAATTTAATTGTCCCATTAGCGTTATCATTGCGCTGAAAGGCAATTACTTCTCAGCTTTATTGTGCACAGTCCACTATATTATTCAGCCCATGAGAGCTCACCATTCGCTGGTGCGAGAGACAAAGGTCGATGTGTTCCACACAGTTATCTCGACAATGCAACGCCCAGTTGGTTTTTCTTCATTTTCAGATGTACGGGTGGGACTCTCCTAGACAATATTTGTATTCTGCTTGACAGAAATTCCGTGCTACTTTCTCACGAGGCGTGACACGCTAGCGTGAGCCTTGTTTGCGTGAAATTGCCTTCGTCTGAGCGAGGTGACGTCATCGTGAGGAAGACCAGTTCACCACCGCTCACGTTCAGTAGCAAACATTTGATTTTCAGGCATGGACACGCCAGTCGGGAGCGAGGAATATGGTAATAAACAGGTGGTTTTCGACTGAAAGCAGAATGAGGCGAAGTCAAAAGTCTCCATGTCCAGAAAAGTACTTCTGGTTCTGCGCATGCAGTACCAATCTCATATATGCGTCTTTCTGTTGCTTCCGTCATAAACGTAAAACATGAACAACTCCAGTTATTGTTAGGTTCACTATCTAATTAGGTCAGAATAAAACATGCGGTGGGTTATGTTAACATTTTTCTCGTGTATGTGTATGCACTTACTTACCGACTTTACTGGCTTCATACGAATGTCGTTTTAGATAGTTTACTCTCCTGCTTCTGGATAGCGCTGATCGGCAGCAAGAAATGAACCGAACCGCGAATCGTGACCATGTGAACAGTCCACGACCCTGGCTGGTTCAAGTTTCACTGATCACTTCAGCCAAGAGTCACGTACCACGCGGCTGTCTTCTTGCCCCGTGAGAGCGTAGCATAAAAGTGGATAGACGTGTCGTAGGCAGTTTGGTTTGCTGTACATACGCTTGGCAGTTCATCATGTAGAAATAAAAATGAGTGAGTCTTGGACAAAATTGCCAAATTGCGAACAGTCGAGCAGAAAAATCATTATTTTGATGAAAGTTTTAAATACTATATTTACATCCAAGAACTTCACGAATATGAAACTTGAAATTTTAGTTATTTTCAGGGCAGAAAACCCCGCTTGTACACCCGCATCGTTTTTCATTGAGCTAGCTCCAATTACACATTTTTCTTTCGCCTTTCTACAGGGTGTAAACGTTATGGTAGTGATTATTGAAATGGGTAATAGGGGGGTCAAAACAAGTCAAAAGTTCATCTGACCCATGGTCCAAAGTCAATAGATTTTTGTCTAAAAAGCTTTATAGTTTACAACTTTAAGTGCTTTATATCGACCACAATCACCACAATCTTACTAATTTTTATAATCTAATCTAGAACGTTTTTAAATGCATATATATATATATATATACAATTACCAATAATTAACAAGTTAGTGGCATTAAGTTTTTTTTAAGTTAAGCCAAAATTTGTAGTCAGTAAGTTTCATTAAATAAAATATATAAAACACACATGACAACAGCGCGTCGGTCTTTCATCACACTTACCGAACCGGCAACTCATCGCAAACGGTAATAGTGGTTAGTTATCATTTTGCGTAGATAAATAACTTTATCGTTTTGTCGGGCAGAGCATCGGGCGTGTTGTTTTGTTTTTGTTCAGGTACGTCGACGTGTTTATTTACAACGTGCGCGAATCAAGAGTTCGCCGACATGTTGTTAGTTTATGGTGAAGCTCGTAAGAATTCATATCTTGCAGTTCAAATTTATCGCGACAGATTTCGCCAACGGGTACACCCAGACAGAAGGACATTTGTGCAAGTGTACCAAAGACTTCGAGATACAGGAAGCGTTCAGCCCACTAATATTCGGACTCGTGAAATACAGGTTACTGTAGAGCAGGAGAAACAACTTTTAAATATCGTGGAAATCAATCCAGATATCAGCACTCGGGAATTAGGCCACCGCGTAGGACTATCGCATACCATAGTCCATAGAATCCTACGGGAAAATTTGCTTTATCCCTACCATATACAACGAGTGCAGGTCTTGTTACCAGAAGACTATCCTCGCAGACTAACATTCTGTCAGTGGTTTTTGCACAAAAACATTGAAAATCCGGATTTTTTTAAAAAACATTCTAGCGACGGAAGAATGTACTTTTACGCGAGACGGGATATTAAATTGCCAAAATACTCACACCTATGCCCAAAAAAATGCTCATACTATTCGTGAAGGTTATTTCCAACAACGTTTTAAAATAAATATTTGGGCGGGTATTTTTGACGATCAGGTAATTGGCTCTTTTGAGTTACCCCAAAGTTGTCAGGAGAAGGATACCTTAGCTTTCTAGCTAACAACCTATCAGAACTTTTGGAATAGACATTAGACAACAGGCCATTATAACGGAGACAGAATTTGTGGTTTCTTCATGACGGGGCATTACCACACATTTTTAGAGGCGTCATTCAGTATTTGGATGAACATTATCCAAATCGCTGGATTGGTCAAAATGCTCCTGATCCTCGAAAATGGCCAGCAAGATCTCATGACCTCAACCCGATGGATTTCTGGTATTGCGGAGAACTTAAAGGGATGGTTTATGGGGCTGATCCAATAACAACTGAAGCACAACTTAGCGAAAAATATTTTAATGCGGCTGAACTAACAAACGGACAACATCGAGGATCTAGAGTAAGAAGAAACTGGGTTCGTCGTAATGAAGCTTGTGTGGAAAGTGGAGGATGACATTTTGAACACCTTTAAATACAAAAAAACTGCAGTGTGGGTTTTAAAAATAAAAACAATGTATGTATCAAAATTGTGTTCCCTATTTATAAGTGGATTTTTTAGTACGTTCAGTAAACTGTCACACACCAGGTGAAGCGCTGAGACAGTTAGTGGTAAGTCCTTTTTTTCAAATTGTTTGCATTTTACGAGTACTTTATCAAATAACGCAATAATACCTAAGAGCCAAAAATAACAAACTCCATCTTAATTTACACTGCGTTCCGTCTGGCATTGCGGCGTTGTCAGGTTTTATTTTACTTTAAAGTCGCTTTTCTCTAAAAAAATGCCGTTTTGACCCCTATGTTATATGAAAGTTTTTGCTTCTTTTAACCGCCACCCATTTAAATAATGACTATCATAACGTTTACACCCTGTATATCCTATTGACGTATCTTACTGCCCTTTGCCAGTTCTCAATTCTACATGAATAAAGTACTATAATTATCCAGAGTAATTGCTGACATAAAAAATAATTTGGCCTGAACTTGCTTTTACACCAGTGCTCTAATAATTCAGCGTCTAGTTCTACTGTAAGCCCATTATCGTGTGGGGACTGAGGTCAAACGAATACTTCACTTAATCTCATAAGCTGCTTTAAATACCTCGTCCTTTATGTGCACAGTGATTAGCACATAATTTTGCAGGCTTCTTGGGTTTAGTCGCTAGGTCAATTACCACTAAGTTTTACCGTTTAGGCACCAAAAATATCGTCAAGAAATTCAGTCAAACAGTCGCATTCAATAAGTCCAACCATTGACAACTTGGCTGTCTAGAAAGTTCTCCCCTGCCCTACTGATATTAACGTCTGAAAACTTTGCTATGACTATTACCTGTTAGCAACCGGTCATCGGTTAGACATCAGACATCGGTCAGATTTCGACGCAGGTAGTAATCGTTGTTACATGTCTTGAAAATATTTCCCTATCATTCTTTTAAGAGCAAATGTACGAGGAAATCTGTGTGTAAAATAATAAATTTTAATTTATGCCTAGAACAAGCGGAGTTGGTAAGTATACTAGCTCCAAAAAATTAAGATATATCCTCTCTACAATCCCCAATCCCCAATCCTTGACCCCTACATATTTTCTCCAAAACATCATTGAGCGGCAAGAAATGAATAAAATATTCGTATCTTCGTCCCCACTAGATCAATTTTCAGAAACTTGAAATCTTTTTAGTAATTGGCAAAGACAGCCAGATAGTCAGATTGACGTCGTTTCGCGATGTAAGTCTCATATAATATCCAAAACAACATAATATCTGAATTTCTAAATTTTTCACAATCACAATACTTTCTCGCCAGTTGACGTGGAAAGTAAAATTGATGTGTTTAAAACTACTTGGTATCTGCATGAGCGTAAACATGGTAGATTGTATCGCATTTGATGTATCT